GCTGGTGCTGGGCTTGGCAGCTGCCTTTGAGCAAAAATGAACTCCCCGTGGCAGTGGGACAAGACGCGGATGCTGGCACCTGCCAGAGGGAGAGCCGAAGTCGAAGTCGCAGCTGTGCTGGTCACATGAGCCTGGAGACCTGAGGGGGCAGGACCTCAATGGCTGTTAGCAGGCTGTGGTTCTCTGCAGGCAGTTTATTGAAATGGGGTCTGTGCATCTCCCCACCCCTCTGGGCTGGCTCTCAGAACAATCAGAGGTGCAGGTGGCACATCCGGCTGAATGACCCCAGGCCATCTCCAGGAGGAGGAAGAAGCTCATCACAGAGCCCCTGGAGCCACAGAGGGATGCCTGGTGAGGATGAGCAGACAAGGGATCCCGAGGGGGATGCTTCCTGGATGCATGAAGTTCCCACCTGGGGATTAACATCACCTTCAGATCGCCTGACTCCTGAGAAGCTTCTCTGTCTTTAAAAAGCCAGGGTTATATGTAAAAGGGGCGTCTGGCAGAACAAGAATTAATCTGGGTAGGACTAAATTTAGAATGATTAGGATGAAAAATTGATGGGAAGGGACTCTATTCAATCCTTAAGTGATAAAGAACAAGAATGGGGACTGGGCATCAGTAATCAACATGAAAGAGGACACAATCAGCCCAGATCTTAAGACAACCCTCCTCGTGAAACAAAGGAAATGTCCCACTAGATACATCCCAGGATGGAGACAGTGGCAAACCCATGATGTAAAGCCTCTGCAGTGAGAATATGTTCAGACAAGTAGAGTCCTCCCCAAACATTCTAGAACAGCCTTGGAACAAACAGTCACTCGGAATGAAGAGCCGTGTCAAAGTCATGAAATGTCAGATATATACATGGGATGCCTATCTTAAGGATGAGAGAAAAACATTGCTTCTAAGGGCTTAAAACTGAATTCTCAGCTGTTTTATATTTTTAGAATTTCTAAAAAGAAATTTCTTTCTATGTCATCCAGATATTAGTTCTGGCTTGGTTTCATAAAGGCAGTGCTGTCTAACTCCAGGGACTCTGGCTATTTTGTTAGGACAAGGTTCCTATGAGGACCCAGTAAGGAACACCAGTGGTCTACATGGTCCATTCACCCATGGCACTTGGCTTTGTGCTGCACCTTGATTTTGCTTCATCTCTCTAAACTCCCCGAGTTCGGGGCAGACGGGCCTTCGGTCATCCCTGTGTCTGGGCCATTGGTAATTCACGCCCATCTGTTGTCACTGCTTTTTGGTCTTTCTTGAAAAGATGGGTCTCACATGGGTCTCATTTGCTTTATCAAAGAGCAGAAGCAACAAAGATCACAGGGGTATGAATCCAGGATATCAAGAACAGTGTTGAAAGAGAATTAGAAAATGTGAACTCACTTAAGGAGCCCTTTTCTGGTCTGCAGTTTAAAACTCAAATAAGGCATGCATGTCTGACTACATGAATGAAAACTTATTTTCCAAATGACAGCTCCTCCAAAGCCACTATTTTGTAAATAGTTACAACAGAAATACATTTTTTGCTAGATTCTAAGGAAAGAATTTGCAAATTAGATAAACTCTCACTGTTCTAAGATTTCTTTTCTCCACTAGCACTTTTCATGGACTCAAAAATGCTTCTGCTCTGCTCCCCTCCTACTTCAGCAAATGGAGTGTTTGGGAGTGACTAATTTAAAATACAAAGGGACAGGTGGGTGACAGGAGGCAGCTGGAGGGGACCCACTCTTGGAGCGTATGCGTGATAGGAACGATCTTCATATAGACCAAATCAAAGCCGCAGCAGCTTGGGAGAAACCCTGTCTGTCCCATATTTGACTAACTCGAAGACAGCTTCTAAGACATCTTTTTACTGCAGGATAAAGAATTTTTAAATAGTTTTATTTATTTTTTCAATGAAAACCACACTCCTGTCACACTCTGGATACAGTTCGCTATACTTAATAAAACAATCTATGTAATTATCAACTTACACTCTAGGGACTTGAAAAAAACTCAGATATGGAAAAATAAACACTGAGGTGGCATTCTGAATCATTCTCTTTATTGTGCGCTTCTTCTTCCTTCATGTGCTCTATTAAACAGATACTCAAACATACGTTGGTCATAGATATTCAACATCAAAGTGGAATGAATGTGCTTCCAGTCAAGTTGGCAATATGGCCCTTCTTTTTTGTTCTCTTAACTAAGCAGGACATGGCTAGACTTGAGGTGAGAGTCATGGTCTGCACGGACATGAGTTACTTTTTTTATTTTGTCACAATCAACGACAAAGAAATGCTTTCTGCGAGAGGTCGAAACCTCAGCAGAGAGCTCTTGTATATTTGGTGCTACCCTAATTGCAGGGACAGGACAGGAAGTGATCACTTTTGCTTTCAGCCCTGTGCAAGGAAGTCAAAGACTTAAGTCTCTTGCCTGCTTTAGTCCTGGGACAAATAATGGTGGTGTGTCAGGCGCACCGTGTTAAACTGAGAATCACACCAGACAGCAGAAACACTTGCTCAGCGCAATTTTGTAAGACTCTAACATGTTGTCATTGAACATCATTCCCCCTGTTTATTGAATCAGCAATGTATTTTCAAATTTAGAATTTGGTAACTCTAATATGCTTCTATCTGTGAAGAAAAATGAGATCTTTGTTGGTGATAGATGAGGCTTTCCAAAATTTAATTTATGTGTTGCGCATCCTCGTGTTCTTCACTGAAGGCTACCCTTGTTAGCTCTGATAACTCGCATTTCCTCTTCGGTCATCTGAAGCTAATTACAGCTGCTGTTTACTGCAGAACTAATCAATAGCTTTCTATAGTAGATCACATAGAATCAGACCCATATGCAATTAGTCCAATGCAGATACACAGAGATACCTTAATTAAAACAAAATATGCTCTGTAAGAGGTATGCTTTCATAGATAACTGGAATTTCAAATATTTTGACACATTTAATGTGTTTATTCAAAGTAAGAGTCTTTATGATAACTTTCACTACCCAAATTTCCTTGATGAATTTCCCTTGAAAGCATTTTGAACTGAAAAAAACTCAGTACTTAGTATTATACATTTATGTTTATTAACATTTGGATATAAATGTACTTCAAACACCAATAAGAGCTAAAAGACTATGCCTTTATCTTGGATCTCGAACAGATTTCCCACCCCAGTGATTGGATTAATTCTTACAAGGCAAACATCAGCGGGCAAAGCGGATCAGTATGAACTGTGCACCTTGGGTTCCTCCGCCAGCCCCTCCACTGATGCGGGGAGAGATAATGCTCCCAGCAGTCTCTTCAGGTGGAATCTCCTCTTCTCTATTCAGTGGAGAAGCATGGCTCCTAGCACTCGATCATTGTAGATTCTGAATGTCGCCATCAACCAGACTTTGAAAGTGCACTTCAGGGTCTACTTGTTGAAGGATGAGAATGATGGAAGATGATGTGCAGTGAACAAGCCAGATGCCTTGTATCCAGAGTCCTGTTCCTCGCATCTTTACCAACCAACTCATCTCCACAGACCTGTCATTGGTCCCCCTGACCCACCGCCTTTTTTCTTTCCACACAGTCTGTCAGAGTCTGTCATGGAGGACACATAACAAGGTGCAAGTAGGTTCCTCATAACCGTCGGACCAAATCACTCTAAACAGTGGCAAGGTCATCCCCTTGAGAGTCAAAACAACCCTTAGGAAGAGAACGGTGTACGCTGGCATGGATCTGCTTCAGAAGAGCGGTCAGCAGCTCCTTGCCCCCCATCCCAGCCAAACCAGTCTTTGTCAAGTCACATGAAAACCAAGGTACTGGATTGTGTCAACTGGCACAGGCGCCACTGGATTCTGCAGGGCATTTACAAATGGCCGCGTTTCCTCACGGGTATGCACGCTTGCATGTCAAGAAATGATAAAGGACAACACCTGGCTGCTCTGTTTCCTCCTGCCTGTCCCCAGTAACGGGATGCAGAGCTTTCTGCTGAAGCACAGACTCCTCAGAGTCTGCTTTTGAAGAGCTGTCTTCGTGAAGTTAATATCGGAGCGAACACTACTTATGAGAGGAAAACAAGCTCCGTGTATCTTGTATTAAATCATCAGTAAAAAATGAAGACAGTATCATTACTTTCAAAATATAGAAAGCCAATAGTTGAAATCATTTAGTAGTAAAATTTTTTTCTACATATAACTTCATACGTGTAAAGAGTATTAGAGTGACATGTCAGCTATATTGGACTCTTGTTAGTTAAAGGGCTTCTTGCTCAGGTAAGGCTTAGGAGAGTGTCGTTCAATGGTCAAGGTTCTGCAAACGTTCATGCACACTTGCTCCCCCCCTCTCCTTACTGACTAGAAGACAGACACTACATTTAGATGAGACAGGTGTCTTTTGTTTGGTAAGAGAGTGTAGAACTGTTTGCAGTACACTGTGTGGAAAATGCTAGTCCATATAGAAAAGGTGAACACTGATGCAAGCTGGTTTGCACAAAGTTCATCAAGATCCTTTTGATGAGAACCTTTGTTTTGTGACCAAAAAAAAAAAAAAAAAAGCCTCAAAACTTGCACCCATGATAGGCTAAAATGATGTCATCAGAAACTAAAGTCATTACACGAGTATGGAAGATTCTTTAGAAGTACTAACTCCTTCTCTTGCTAGTAACAGCCAGAGTTAAATTGTTAAAATCATCGACATCATCATGTAAAACATGGGCCCAGTTTGTCAGCCAACTTTACAAAGTGCCCCTTTATAAGACAGCATACCCCAAAGCCTTTTGAATTTGGAATGTAGCACTGCATCAGGTATCCCATAGAAGCCCTAAGGTTCATAAGATTTCTTAAAAAAAAAAAGAAAAAAGAAAGAAAGAAAAAAGGGAGAAATAAAGAAAAAGTTCCAGTTGGATGAAACTGTTTTCCCAGTGTCTCAGCTGAGCTCCTAAAACTGGAATTTCAGATACACAAGAGGACAGGAAACAGATAGCTTGGTTTTGTTGTCTTTGTACATGTCCACACTGTTTTTTAAATGCAGCTACGATGTTTCTGCCAAAGATAAAGATAATAAAGTGGACAGGGCGGTTACCACCAGAATCAGCAGCGGGCTCAGACCACAGGTTGGAGGAGCAGCCATTGATTTTGTGGTTATGTGGCTGGAAGCACCAGCGAGGCCATTCTTTTCGTAATCACGCTGTAAGAGAGAATATTTTCATTACCACCCACTGCATGTCTTCCTCTGTCCCAGTATATTTAAACCACACTCTTTCTCTCTCCCACCCCCACCTCCAACTGGCTGTACCATTCACGAAGCTGATCCAAGGTATTATTACTATGTATGGAGACTTCAATTCATTGGCTTATAGTCAGGAAGGAATCCTTAGTCTGGGTGAGAACTGTATACTTCATGATAAAACGGCCAACACTTGCTTCCTGCCCCTCTGCCGTGGATTACCGAAATCCTCTTGTGGGACAGCTTGGAGCCTTCCTTCACTCCTACCTCCTGGGTCTCCCAGTAGCTGTGCAACATGGAACTTTCCCTTCTGGTACGTGTGGTCCCCACCTCCACCCCCCAAGCATGGAGGAAGGGCAGGAAGAATCATCTTAGAAAACTGGTGCAGGCAAGTATCAGTTCATGTGGAGATGGGCCACAAAGTGCCCAGAGGCCGCCAGAGCAGTCAGCAACATTTCTCTCCATTTGCCTGTTCAACCCTAGATTTTCTAGATAAAGGAGCCTGCCCTGACAGTCAGGTGGAGAGCTCCCACCAGAACTCAGGCTTTCTGGCTCCCAGTCGGCATAGCTGTCCCAAGACGGATGACTCTGTCCCCACCACAGCACCCGCTCAGTCCCATAATGCCACACCCCAGTGACTGACACATGACAGAATCTTCATCTCATTTGTAAAACAGGGAGAGTAACATGGCCTGCCCAAGCCACCTCTGGGTTGCTGCGGAGGCTGAAGGAACTGCGGATAGAGTAAGCAGTGAGAGTTGTTGCATGTCTTGTCTGTGCCGGCTGATTCTACACGACTGTGGCCACGGAGTCTCTCGGCATTCGTGCCAGGTCCAGCTCTGGGATGAGGATCCTGGGTCCCACACTTACTTCTAACTTTGTGGACTGGGATCCGAAGACTGCACTTGGCACCAAGGCCAGAGGGACACGGAGGGTGCCGCAGGTCTTTTTCTGGACCTGAAACCTTGCTGTCTTTGAGCCTTGACATCACCACCTGCCTTTATATCATCACCAGGGGCCCAAAGGCTCTGTCTGTAGAAATGCAGGGAGACCCAGAGAGAAACAGAACTTACATCAGAAAGACAGAGGTGTGTGCTGCCCGACACATTGGATTTCAGCTTCTGTGCCTGAAGAAAAATAAACACACACATACACACATAAAATCACTCATCTATAGTATGGAATAATAATTACTGATGATCCAGTCAGTTTTCTACAGCCAGGCCATTGATAGAAATATGTGAGGCACAACTGTGAGCCCACATATAATTTAAAATTTTCCAGTAACCACATAAGTAAAGAGATAAAGCTAAAGATAATTGTAACAATATATTTTATTTAACCCAACATATTATCATTTCAACACGTAATCAATATAAAAAGTTATTAATGACATACTTTACATTTCTTGTTCATACTAAGTCTTCAAAATCAAGTGTCTTTGATGCAGCACATCTATTTCAGGCCTGCCCCATTTCAAAGGCTCAGTAGCTACCTGTGGTCCCTAGTAAGGACAGCACAAGGCTAGGTTACTAAAGGCAACGTTTTGAAGTCATTCATATTTGGAACTCATTTATATCTCTGAACGTTAATTTTTGGCAAGTGCCTTCGAGGTAAAGATGTGGCAATAAAAATTCCCATTCGTTAGAAATACACAGATACGTCTCCCTGCGGCTTTTCTGTCCATCAGTCTATTCTTCGCTTCAATCAACAAACACAGAGCTATTTTCAGGTTATACAAGAGCAAAAGGGTGTAGTCCCTGGGCTCATGGGGCTGCTCACTAGTTGAGTCAACCACTCACTGCTTGGGAGTGACGGCACAGGGCAGGGACTCTTACAGACGGGTCCCCTGGAGGAACAGTACAGGGCACCACAGATCCCGACACCGCACTCCTAAAACTGCCTCCAGGCAGTGGTGAGGGGGCTGAGCCTTGAAGGCGTTTAAGCTCCCTGTCTCCTCGCACTGGAGAAAAGTCCCCACTGAGCTTCCACCACAGAACTGAGTTAAAGGAAAAGGTCCATCGCTCAGTTACAATGAGAACTGCTGACCCAGTTTTGTAAAGGAAAACAGAGTGCAGTGAAGTTAAGTGACTGTTCCAAGGTCACAGAGTAATTTACTGGTAGAGACAGGATACAGACCGCGTCTCTCAATCTCTTGAAAGCAAATGTGCTCTTTCTTCCCTTATGGTGTTTCTGGTATCTTTGACTCTTCCATGTTCTATCTGCCTCCACATCCACATGAGGAACTCCTCCCATGCCCACCCCCCCCGTCCCGCCAAATAGGAGTCTGATGGCACCAAAAACAGAGAGCTCATGTGCCGACAGGATGGCCCTGGTTAAGCACCACACTTGAATCACGGAGTGTCTGGGCAACCAACTCTGGGTGAATGGCATTGGCGGGCTGCCCTGTTGCAGGAAGACATTTGCAACTCCTTGAAGACATGTTAGGTTGCTGATGGCACGTTCACCCAAGGAGTAATTTACTGACCATAACGCTCCTTGGAAAGCATCGTAATCTTTACCTATATTTGCATATGCCAGCTGTGAATATGAAATAGAAACCTTTAAACAGGCATCAAGAATAAGACACTGTGAAGCATCCCCAGGCTGTTCAAAGGTCACTAAATGTTATATATAAGAAGATCAGAGGAGAAGTTGGAAGAGCAATTGAACCTTACTCAAAAGCCTACTTGTAATATGTAGTAATAGCAAATCTGGTCCATTGCAATGTCACCTACAGAGAATAATGTATAGAACTTTACATGTTTTATTTCTGTTCGAGATTGGAATTGTGCCCAGATACCAAAATGGTCTTAAAACATCACATTCTCTTTTTTCCTTGCCTGAGCATAATCTACAAAAGACATAAACCCTTGCTAAGGGCCTTTGCATAACTAAGAAGTTCACTAAAATGTGCAGAGAAGGCAGCCTGACTTCTAGTCTGGAACACATAATACCTTCAAATTGTTTCTGTGCTGTAGTCATAGCTAAATTATCCCTCAGTGTCCTACACCACAGCCCTCTAAGTCCTTTATTTTTTTAAATTTTTAAATGTTTTATTTATTTTTGAAAGAGAGAGAGAGAGAAAGCATGAGCAGGGGAGGGTCAGAGAGAGAAGGAGATACCAAATCCGAAGACAGGCTCCAGGCTCTGAGTTAGCTGTCAGCACAGAGCCCAATGTGGGGCTCGAACCCACAAACCGCGAGATCATGAGCTGAGCCAAAGTCAGATGCTTAACTGAGCCACCCAGGTGTCCCTCAACAGCCCTCTAAGTTCTAAGGGTTGGATGGGTCTCCTTCCTACTTTATTCTTTACGATTAGCACCAGTAGGTAGTGTTTTATACATTATATATACAATCTGAGGTACCCATTAGCTAGACTTAAGTCATTTCAGGAACATGTTAAAATACTACTATAATGCCCATTGTTATTAAATACAGTAAAACCTTGGGTTGCGAGTAACTTGTTCTGTGAGTGTTCTGCGAGACAAGCAAACATTTCCAATAAACTTTAACCTGATACATGGGTGATGTCTTCCAGTACAAGTAGTACATGATGGCAAATGTCACATGATCACAACTGAGCCAATGGTTCTTGAAGTTTGCTTTGATATGAGTGCTTTGGATTATAGGCATATTTCCAGAATGAATTATGCTCACAAACCAAGGTTTTGGTGTATTTGTAAAGGCGCTTCTACCAATGGATAAGGAAAGTCTTCTGTCTAAACAGATTTTCTTAGGTGGACTCTAGATCTGCATAGATAGATTTCTGACCCTCATTGGTCATTGAGGGTTTCACACTGCATATAGGCTTATAGGTTTGCAGGCTCTTGCCTTACATCTGGAAATAGCTGGGATAATGGCTCAGTCACAGAGAAAAATGCCTTAAGACCAGCTCCAGGTCTATGAAGCCTCTGTGTTCTTCTTTCCCCAAAGCTGACATATTGTTGGCCTCTATCTAAAGGAAATGGTCAACATGAGGTCTTGTCACCCAGTAGCCCCACACTAAAAGTGGAGGCAGCATCTCAAAGCTCATCTTGCCTTGAAGACCATTCTTGTTAGCATAACTGAGTAACCTTCAAAGTACAGGTAATAATGTGCACCCAGACCACTGCAGATGTTCTGAGAAAACGCCTTCTCTCCCGTTAAGTACCTTCCCAACCCACAGAAGCACTTTGCACTCCAGAGGCTTAGAAGTGCATGCACACAGGCCTTTAGATACTCTGCTTACATGGTGTATGAACACAGCTTCCCACTGTGTTCCCATTGCAGAGGCTGAGCTGAACATCCCTGGAGTTCTATCTAAACCTCATGTGGACCGTAGGAAAGTCTCGGAGTCTGATTACAAGGTGAAGGACAAATGTTACCATTATTGGAATGGCAGGTGACTTCTGGGTAATAGAATCAAAAGATTACACGTAGACATGGGATTTTTTTTCCAATCCCACAGCACACCTAATGTGTATATGACAAGATGAAGGACAGTGGGTCTGCTGCCTAGACTGTCCAGCATCAGGTACAGGTGAGCACTGCCACACTGGGTGCCTGGTGCCTTTAAAGGTTAGTAAACTGCAGATGGAGGGGGCAGAGCCTGGGAGTTTAGACCCATGTACGTCTAGCTCATTGCATGCTTGCAAATCCTGTGTGCAATCCTAACCCCTCCATTGGCCCTGAGGTCAGAAATCTAAGAAGCAGATCCAGAGTCCACTTAAGAAAATCCAGCTCCTAAGGCCCATTTTAGAAGACTGAGCAACCTGTTATTTCCACATTTTAAAGGCTTTTATCCTGGGCATTTTTGGAAACATCATTAAGCTATCATCGTCTTGCTAGTCAGGTATGATAAATGAGAACATAAAATTAAAGGTTGGCTCCCACCTTCCACTATTGTCAAGAGTGCTTACATACTTTAAACACTGTGTCTCAGTGATAACAACTGGGATTGTCCCAGAGGAAAAACCAAAGCAAAACAAGAAAATTTGAAAAAACCAAAAACTCATAACAAAACTTCTGAGACTCTGTAAGGTATGAGGGAAGTTAGAAACTTACTTACTTTTTTAGAAAGAGTACATTTTACTGCTGAGTTCTGAACTGGTAAAAGTAAGGGTGTAATCATGAAAGTTCTGGCTCAAGGTCCTGTCTGTGGGCCCAGCAGCCCCGCGCATCAACGGCATCTGCAATTACCCAACCCAGACAGTGGCCAGCCTGGACCTATATAGACACTCAATCTTACAGTGTGGCCGTAAAATATGACATCTCTTTAAAAAAAAGAGAGAAGGATAAAGAAGAGAAGAGAGTGGATTTTACTGTTCTAAAAGTCAATTTTAACCAGTGTTACAGAATGCTGAAAAATGAATTATTATTATTTTTTTATTTCTGAGAGAGAGAGAGAGAGACAGCGTGAACAGGGGAGGGTCAGAGAGAGAGGGAGACACAGAATCTGAAGCAGGCTCCAGGCTCTGAGCTGGCTGTCAGCACAGAGCCCGACGCGGGGCTCGAACCCACGAACTGTGAGATCATGACCTGAGCCGAAGTCGGACGTTTAACCGACTGAGCCACCCAGGTGCCCCTGAAAAATGAATTATTTAATCTCTTTTATGAAAAACTGTTGCTTTGCAGCTAATTCTTACTTTCGCAGTTATGGAGGAAGCCACTTGACTCTGAGTTGGGGGGAAACAGCACTACTAAAACACAGTACCACAGGGTTTTCACCTGGCGAAGGGGGAGATGAGAGGCACATTGGGGAAGCCTGTGTCCAACCCAGTAGCCTTGCTGTCATTCTGGAAAACTAGGGAACTTGTATTTAGGCACTTCGTAATAAGCCTTGTCCCTCCACCTGTGTTATAAAACTGTCACTGGCAGTAGTCCGCTAGTCCAGGCACGTCGGGTAATAGAATTCCCATGGCACTGTAATTCTGGGGCCAGACCTCGCCAGTCCCTGGCACCAGAGGGTTAATAAATGCATTAGATGCTGTTAACCTCTGTACGTGGAGTCAGAATGATGACGCTCTGGCTTTTTACCCCAGTGATTAACATTTGGAAAGCCTGCCATGGTGCCAATGTCCTTCCTGCTCAGAATGCACAGACACTCAGGCCACTCAGCACCCCGGGTCCAACCCCACCCCTCAGTC